TTATTAAAACAATTGTAATTAAAAAATAGAAATGATCCAAATTATTTCCTTATGAAAATTGAGAATTTTCTACAAAAATATTAAGAAATGGAAATATGTAATGTTTTTTTTCCCAAAAGAAAAGAATTGAGTTTGGATCAAAATTTGGATATTTTTGGGAAAATTCCTAAAGAAATACCTTTTTTTTTTTTAGAAAAAAAGTGATTATATACTTTTTTTCTGTACTTTGGAAACCCTCGTATACGTTACCTCTAAAACATTTAGATGGCGGAAGCGAGGACCCCGCTAGAGGTATTATAACCTCACCGGAAATCCCTAAGACTCGCAAGAGTGCCGACGGATCATCCTGTTTCTCTTAGGGCAGCCACCTACGGATATTAAAGGAAATGGCGGTATGATTAGTCGTGTACGTGAATTGGTTTCATTTCGTACTTAAATCATAATATCCTCAAAGAAACTTTTTTTTGGGGGGGGGGGGGAAACTTCTCCCTTTATACTAATTTTCCAAGCAAATATTACAAATAAACACAATATTTGTCCTCAATATTTACCGAACAATATTAGCAAATATTCATGCAATATATCGTGATCAGTTGTACTATTTAAAAAACATAAATTATAATAAAAATATAAAATAAAATTACTATTTTTAGTAGAAAGATATACACAAAAATCTTGATTGAAAAATTATTTGACACAAACGAGTATTTTTTTTCTCTTTTCTATATATAAACGTATATTTATTCTTTGAGAAGAATGGTAGAATTTGCTTGATTTAGGGGTTGAACGCTATCCGAGTCCATGAACAACCCTTTCTATTTTACAAGAGCGCTTCGTATTCGTACCATTATCACAAAAACGAATAGTCACAACCCTTAAAAAAGGATTTTTTTTTGCTCAAAAACAGTGGTAATTTATTTCTTTTTAATTATGTACCTACAATCGTAAACGATTACCTTAAAATAATACAAAAATATACTAAAAAATATGCTAAAAAATATACTAAAATACTAAAAATATACTAAAATAATAAAAATATATAATCAATTTTAAAGGTCTAATAACAAAAATTAGAATTTCCTAATTATCAAAACGTAAAATCAAAGACTTATCGAGTCGAATTAATAATTAATAAGAAAATTTCTCATATATTATAAACAGTGAATTCAAATTTTTGAAATTTTCCAACAGCAGCAGCAGCAGCAGCAGGTCTTTGTATTATGGAAACAAAGCTCATGTTTAGAAGTAGGAGGGCTGCAATGGTTTGTCTTATATTATTAATAAGGGTAGTTTCCGCCACTGCGTGCCATGGGATCGGATGGAAGGGAGATCGAGGAAGAGCTATGCTCGCTATGTCCGGCAAGGGTGGTATGTAGGTAGGTGGTCCCTGACGCTGGCTAGAGAGAGAGAGAGAGTGAGACCTTGTTAAAACAAGAATGCTAATTTATTAGAGGTCACAATTCTCAAACAAGAGGAGAGCTAGGTTTCTCGATGATCCCTGCAATCTTCAAATTCTGATCCACTATATTCCCTTAGCTAAAGACGATTGGTATTGGAACTATGAATATCTTATTCTTAATCAATAACATTGCAGGATTTTACAAGATTAAATTAGTTATGTCTGACTATATTTGGTTTTTACTACTGAAAGAGAAAATTAATTATTTATGTCTGATTATACTTGATTTTTACTACTAAAACAGAAATTTAATTTACATGTCTGACTACACTTGATTCTTACTATTGGGAGAGGAATTTTAATAATTACGTCTGACTATACCTAATTTTTACTACTAAAATCGAATTTTCAGTATTGCCTGACTAAACTTGATTTTTACTACTAGAAATGAGTCATAACAATTATGTTCGGCTAAACATGGATTTTACTACTAAAGCAAGATTATTAATAATGACTTCTGACTAAACTTGCGTTTTACTACTGGAATATAAGCTTTAAAAATTTGCCTTCACTTGATTTTTACTACTTTAATCAAATTTCCTGTACTTATGTGTCTGACTAAACTTGATTTTTACTACTTCAATCAACTTTTCTATACTATAAATTCTTCTTACTACTAGAAAAGGAATTTCAATAGTTATGTCTGACTATACTTGATTTTTACTACTGTGAAATTTTAATATTTATGCCTGACTATACTTGATTCTTACTACTAAAACAGAAATTTTAATAGTCCTGTCTGACTATTCTTTATTAGAAAAGGAATTTTAATAATTATGTCTGACTATTGCTTATTTGCACTACTGTGATAGGAATTTTACTATTTTCGTCTGATTCAACGTAAGTTTCACTACTTGACCAGAGGTTTTAATAATTATGTCTGACTATACTTGCGTCTTACTACTAGAAAATAAATCTCAATAATTATGTCTGACTAAACTTGAATTTTACTACTAGAACAGGAGTTTTAATAATTATGTCTGACTATACTTGATTTATACTACTATAATAAAATTGTCTTTTAGAAAGCAGGACATTTTTTCTAAGGATATCAAATTGAAACAAAAAACGAATCGAAAGTGTTGCAAGGCGATCACGTTTTTTTGTCTCAATTTGATATCTGCACAAAAACTATGAGTTAAATAACATTCGAGGCAATAAAAAAAAGGATAATAATAATGAAAATATATAACCAACATGAGAATTTGCAAATTTCGAATATTTGAAACGGAAGCAAAAATGATAACATTACGAATGGTCATATCGAGATTACTGGCGGAGTCTTGAGAGGTATGATTGTGGGTATTGTGTTAGTATACTTAGGGAATACACATGGTTCTAAATCAGGGTTGATATCTTCGAAACAATTCGACCCTAGGAGAATGGTGTCCGGCAGCCAGCGGGCGGGTAGCACCGAAGAAGATTTAATTAAGCCGGAGCCGATTTATCTCCCTGACAGCTAACCCCGTCCTTGCCAACCCGCTTGAATCCTCAGTCCCTCTCGAACCCCAGGACACGTTCTAGGTGCCTGGACTCAGCAAAGGGCGCAACCCTTTTGGCTTACTGAAACGACAACTCGCAGCTTATTCGCCTCTATATCGATACGTTCCCATTGTTCCTTAAAATCGGTGAATGCTTGTTCTATTCGCTTCGAACACTTGTCACTACATGTGCTGGAAAAATTCGGAAAGCACAACTTGGCTGAGAAGGGGAAACGACTTTTTTTTCTCTTTCTTCTTTTTTCTTTCTGTTTTTCTTTTCTTCTTTCTTCTCATTCTTCTTTTTTTCTTCATCTTTTTCTCCGTCTTTCAATACTATTTGTTCGCTTTTTTGGTTTTCTTTTGTTCTTTCATCGTCTTCTTTTGCTATATTTTCTTCGTGTTCGCCTATTCCTCTTTTCTTCTCCTTTTTTTCTTTCTTTACCTTTTTCTCAGATTTATTTTCATTATCCTTCAATAAATTAGATGATAACTTACTAATGAATAACCATTTAACCCTTGACTATATCCTTTCTACCCAGGTGAAAAAGTTCCCGCGAATTAGACTAAGAAATTCCCGATAGTCACTCTCGAAAAATTCCCGGGAATTTCCCGGAAGAGTTCCGAGAATTTCTCGAGAGTGACTCCCGGGAATTTTTCTGTCCAATTCCCGGGAACTTTTTAACGTGGGTTATCAATTTTATTATTTTTTTATTGAATAAAAACATTCTAGATTGTTGCTGGGATGTTGCTGAAAAACATCCTGGACGATAGAAAATTTTTTGTAATTTTTAAGCGCTTTAAAAAAAAGTAACCACAGCCGCCGACTAGCAGAAGATCAGAATTTTCATAAAAAGACGTTTTAATCAAATTCGTTTGAATTTTATTTTTTTATGGAATGCTAACAACCTAAAATGTTGCTGGGATGTTGAAGAACAACATCCTGGACGATAGAAAAAGTTTCTGTAATTTTTAAGGACTTTTAAAAAAAAGTAACCACAGCCGCCAACTAGCAGAAGATCAGAATTTTCATAAAAAGACGTTTTAATCAAATTCTTTTGCATTTTATTATTTTTTATCGAGTGCTAAGAACCTAGATTGTTGCTGGGATGTTGGTGAACAACATCCTAGACGATAGAAAATTTTTTGTAATTTTTAAGCGCTTTAAAAAAAAGTAACCACAGCCGCCGATTAGCAGAAGATCAAAATTTTCATAAAAAGACGTTTTAATCAAATTCTTTTGAATTTTATTATTTTTTGTAGACTGCTGACAACCTAGATTGTTGCTGGGATGTTGCTGAACAACATCATAGACGATAAAAATTTTTTTGCCATTTTTAAGCGTTTTTAAAAATGTAACCACAGCCGCCGATTAGCAGAAGATCAAAATTTTCATAAAAAGAAGTTTTAATCAAATTCTTTTGAATTTTATTATTTTTTATGAAGTTTCAATATTTATGGCTGACTTTACTTGATTCTTACTACTTGAAAAGGAAGTTTAATAATTATCTATATTTATACTTGATTTTTACTATTATATTTTAATTTTTAAAAATTACATTATTCTGTTATCTTTTCTTCTTTATTCACTTTTTTGTTCTTTTCTTTTTTTTCTCTGTTTTTTTCTCTTCTTTACTCCCCTTCTTCTGTTTTCTTTCCTTATTTCATCGCCTTTTTTCTTGAATTTTCTTTTTTTGTTCTTTTCTTTTTTATCATACTTCTCTCTGTTTTCTTTTCTTTTCTCTTTGTCTTCTTCTTTTTTCTTCCTCTTTTTCTTTGTTTTCATTGCTTCATTGCTCGTCTTTTTTATTTTTTCTTATTTCTTCACCTTTTTCTTTTTTCGTCTTTCTTTCGTCCTTTTTCACACCTCCCTTGAAAGTATCTAATTGACACCAAAAATATGGTAAAATTTACTTTTTGCTTGACATTCTTGCTATCAATTCGTTGTAATTTTAATATTTTAATTAGACAATCTTCTAAAAGAATTATTTCTCCATAAATTTTCTTTTCGAATCTTTGAAATTTTGGACCTTAAAAAAAACTTGATTGGAATAAAAATGAAAATGAGGTGAGTTGAGATGCATGTATGATCTTTGGATTTCACGTCTCCTCTATATATGTATATACGTACAGAGGAGAGAGTGAGGAGGAGGAGGAAAGCACCCTCGTGCAATTATTAATTAACGTTTCCCCTCTTATGGCATTAACGCGGCTAAGAGGTATCCCTCCTTGCCGCCCTCTTTGCCTTTTCCCGACCCCTTTCGCTTCTGGTTCAAAGCGGTAGGAAGTAACGATACACCTTGGGCATCGTGTAACCGGCGACCTCGTCGACTTTACTTACAAAGAGAAAGACCTCAGGTTCTTGATGTACGTGAGAGTGCAGTCACGCGTGTATAACGCGACTAAAGTCAAGGGATGTCGTCGCCAGGAAACCACTGGTCTTTCCCAAAAGCGAGGAAAAAAAATCCCTTCAATTTGTCTCTCTTCAAATCATTGTTGGAGTCAACTAACTTTTTCCTGTCCTATTTCTTTCTTTAAAATCATTCTTACATTATTTATAATTATATAATTAGTTAAATAATCTTTAACGTCCGAGATCCTTTATTATAATTATAAATTCTTTAATTTATGATTATGTTATTAAATTGTTTTTTTGCAGACTTGGATATTTTTAAAAAAGATCAAACTGGACTCGTGATTGGAAGGTGGAAAATTCTTTCGGAGATCTGAGAAAGTTGTATGATTGTATATAGTTTGTAAATGGAAATAGGATAAAGAGTGAGATTGCGAGGATTCTTGTTCTACGTGCTGGGTTTGCGATTAAAAATTCCGTCTGGAGAGAAAGAGTCTCGTGCACTTATACGTCCCTTGGTGTAACATCTGCCTGTCCACCAAAAAAGGGGAAAAAACGAAGAAAAGGAAGAGGAAGAAAAATTGGAGTAAAAGACGAAAGTGTGCAGTGGCAGTAGTAGTAGTAGTAGCAGTAGCAGCGGCAGTAGTGGTGGTAGTGACGACAAGAGCTGAAGCTGAAGGAAAAGGAAGGGGATATCGAGCGTCCTTGTTCTCGACTGCAGATGCCTTTGTCGCACTTCTTGCAAGCTAAGAGTGTAAGAGGATGAGGGCGATCCACCCCCGACCCACCAACCCCAGGGTCGCCCCTTTACGGGTCTGCCGGCGGTGGCGGCGGTGTCGTATCTTGGCCTCCGCGGCGCGCCGCTCTATCGACGTACAGCTACCCATTCCTCCAACATTCTCATTCCCCTTTTTCCACTCTCTGTCTCTCTCTCACTCACTCCTTTTCTCTCCCCCCTCTCCGTCTGTCTCACACTCGGTTTCTCTCTCTCTCCGTCTTTCCTTCTCTCTCTCCTTCTCTCTCTTCTTCTCTCTCTCTCCTTCAGCACCTTACCCTTTCCCAAGTCATCTTCCTCCCACTCTGGGATCACCTCCTAGTTCGTAACTTGCGATTGCCGAGATAGTGTAGATATAGTTCTCCTATAGTTGAACCAGCAAGGATTCAACTTAAAGGTGGAGTGGGAGAGTGCACACCTCGAGAACTCTAGGCTCGCGTTATTGAGATGTCTGTCGGAGAATTAGGATCTTCCCGTACCCCACTCCACCCCCCCCGATAGTTACCACGATGTCGAGATCCATGCAGATCTCGAGGGGGTTATGGATTAGTAGAACGTATACCTGATCATCTTCATTCGAAACATCCGCACTTGAGGAGGACCTAAACTTCCCAAATGTTTAACATTCTTCTCCCCGGTTTCGAACTTGCATGCAAAAAATTTCACGACGAGGAAATAAATTACGAAAAAATTTGCGAATAAATTACAAATAGATAATTAATGAAAAATAAAGTAATAAATATATAAAAGATAAATGTTAATGTCTGATTATAATTGATTTTTACTACTGAAAGAAAAATTAAAGCAATTATGTCTGACTATACTTGATTGTTACTACTAAGAGAGGAATTTAATTATTTATGTCTGACTTTATATGATAATTACTACTATAATCAAATTTTTAGTTTTTTTGTCTGACTAATCGTCAAGTTTACTACTAGAAAAGGAGTTTTAATAATTATGCCTGATAATACTCGCTTCTTACTACTAGAAAATGCATTTTAATAATTATGTCTGACTATACTTGATTTTCACTACTGTGATATGAATTTTAATAATTACGTCTGACTATACTTTATTTTTACTACTACAATCAATTTTTTAGTAGTTTTGTCTAACTAAAATTAATTTTTCCTAGTATAATCAAATTTTTAGTATTTTTGTCTTACAATTTAAATTATTATTTAAATTGCATCCTATTAAGAAAGAGTTTTAATAATTATGCCTGACTATACTTGTTTCTTACACTACTAGAAAAGACATTTTAATAATTATGTCTGACTATACTTGATTTTTACTACTATGACAGAAATTTTAATATTTATGTCTGACTATACCTGTTTCTTACTACTAGAAAAGACATTTTAATAATTATGTCTGACTATACTTGATGTTTACTACTATGATAGAAATTTTAATATTTAATAAAATTATTTAGTAACAATACTTGATTTTTACTACTACAATTAAATTTTTAATAATTGACTGACTAAACTTGACTTTTACTACTTCAGGAGCTTAAATAATTATATCTGACTATTCATTATTTTTACTACTGTAACATAAATTGTAACATTTGTGTCTGACTAAACTTGATGTTTACTACTAAAACATGAAATGTAACAATTTTGTCTGACTATAATTGATTTTTACTACTACAAAAGAAATTTTAATAATTATGTTTGTTTATACTTATTTTTTGCTTCTACTGTAACCAAATTTTCCATATTTGTGTCTGGCTAATGTTCATTTTTACTACAAGAACTTGAATTTTAATATTTGCGTCTGGCTATTCCTCATTTTTCTACTATGATAGAAATTTTAATATTTATGTCTGGCTTTACTTAATTTTTACTACTACAATCAAATTTTTTATAATTACGTCTGACAATACTTGATTTTTACTACTAGAATAGGAGTTTTGATAACTATGTTTACTGTAATTGATTATTCCTTCTTAAAAAGTACCTTTACTGTTCATGCCTGACTATATCTGATTTTTACTACTCAAACAATAATTTTACTATTTATGTCTGACTATACTTGATTATTACTACTTGAACTGTAACTTTACTATTCATGACTGACCATACTTGATTTTTACTACTAGAATAGCAGTTTTAATAATTATGTCTGACTGTGCCTGATTTTTACTACTGTAAACGTTTATTTTAAAATTTATTTCTGAGTAGACCTGATTTTTACTACTGTAACCGTTTATTTTAAAATTTATGTCTGACTATACTTGATATTTACTACTAAAACTGTAACTTTACTACTTATGTCTGATTATACTTGTTTCTTACTACTAGGAGAGAAATTTTAATAATTACGTCTGAGTATATTTGATTTTTACTAAAATAATCAAATTTTTATGTATGTTTGTCGGACTGTACTTGAATTTTACTACTAAAACAGAAATTTTACTATTTTTGCCTGATTATACTTGATTTTTACTACTTAAACAGTAATTTTACTATTTACGTCTGACTATACTGTATTTTCTTCTACTTTCTAGTGCTACAATTACAAGAAAGTAAAATTCGTAGCGTCTGACTAATACTTACGTCTACTACTTTTGAAAAAACATCAAAAATAAATGTCTGATTATACTTAATTTTAACAAACGATATGACAAACATTCATTGAAAATACGCACCTCTTTTCTCAATCTGGATATCCGTAAAATTCCCCTCTTCCTCTACTTTTATTGAGTAATTATTCTCTACTTGTCTTCTCTTTTTTTTCCTCGGTTTATAATTCGACGAAATTCCCAAAGAGTCGATTGGCTTTCTAAAGGGGAATATAGAAAGATGAAACGCTAAAGGAACCGGGAGTATAAGCGAATTTAGTCTTTTTTAATTCCCCGGATCAAGTCGAAGCCGATTTAGGGAAGAGAATTTTTTTTTTTCAGAAAGTGTGTACTCCCTTAAATCGCTAATAAGACCTTACAAATCTCTATACTAACAGCAATTCTTTACCGAGGTTCTCAATTTTTTTTCCTTTGACCAAACAATCTCGAAAATTAAAAAAAAATTTTATTCTAATTTTGTTGAAGTAGATAATTTTTTTCCTTCACCCCAAAAATTGCATTAATTACTTTTCTCCACATAGATTTTTCAATATTTGTCAAAATTCCCCTGGAGTAAATTTAAATAAAAGTAGAAAAATTTTCGAAGTAAATGCAAAAAATTTTTTGAAATATTTTCGAGGTATTTCTCTACGTTTGTAGATAAATGCCTGGAAATATTACCTTTTCGGTGGGTAAATTTTCTGTCTGTAATGGAAAAAAACTGAAAATAAAGATATTTTATGTTTTGAAAATAAATATGTTTCATTTATCGAAAATAAAAAAAAAAAGAAAATTTGATATTGAGAGTCAGGAATAGTTGCTTTTTTAAAGAGGGGAAACTGATAATTTATGTAAATTAGTAAATTAGATGTATGACTGTCTCGAAGACAGGATATGAACTAATGGAAGGAAACGTTGAGACTAGTTGAGAGCCACTAGGTATTGATGCTCGATCAAGCAGCCCCTGGGGGTTTAATTAAATACAACCCCCATCCATATAACAGCCCCCAGCGTCGATTCCCCATGAAACGAGCAATATTTTTCACAAGACCATCTTCCGCGACGACGTTAGTAACAGACTATAGAAGTTGACTCTCTTTCTCTCTCTCTCATACTCTCTTCGAATCGGCATGATTAAAGTCGAAGCAAACTGCTACTTTCAAAAGCCTTGCGGCAAAAATTATTTTGACCTGCTTTCTATTTGTATTGTAAACGGGACAGGAAACACCGATCAAAATATCTTAATATCAAACATGACATTGTAAATTTTCATTCTCATTGTTCCAATACTAAAATATTATATTTTTATACATATAATGAAAGCAACGTTTAATTTTCAATTTAATTAAACTTTTAATTTTAAAAATT